GGAGTGCAGTGGCACGATCCCAGCTCACTGCAACCTTCCGCCTCCCGGAAGAATGAATCAAATGATTCTCCTGCCTCAGTCTCCTGAGTAGATGGGATTACAGGTACGCACCACTACTCCAGACTAATTTTTGTATTTTTAGTAGAGGCCATGTTTACCATGTTGGCCAGGCTGGTCTCGAACTCCTGACCTCGTGATCCACCTACCTCGGCCTCCCAAAGTGCTGGGATTACAGGCATGAGCCACTGCACCCAGCCTTTTTTTTTTTTAAAGACAGAGTCTCGCTCTGTCGCTCAGGCTGGAGTGCAGTGGCCCGATCTTGGCTCAGTGCAATCTCTGCCTCCCAGGTTCAAGAAATCCTCCTGCCTCAGCCTCCCAAGTAGCTGGGACTACAGGCACATGCCACCACGCCTGGCTAATTTTTGTATTTTTAGTAGAGACAGGGTTTTACCATGTTGGCCAGGCTGGTCTGGAACTCCTGACCTCAAGTGATCTGTCCACCTCAGCCTTCCAAGGTGCCGGGATTACAGGAGTGAACCACCACGCCCAGCCACATGCTCTTTTGATAGAGCAGGGCAGAGAACAGAGATTCCTGGTGAGGTCACCCCACCCCACTCAAATGTGGTCATTCCCACACTGGCACTGTCGCCCACGGAGCTCCTGCCCAGAGATCCGCCCTGGCAGTTCACGGCGCACACTCAGACTGGCCTTCAACCTGAATCCCTTCTTATGTCCTTTGAACTGGTTCCCTCCTCCTGGGACATCCAACTGCAGTCTGCCTTGTTCACGTAGCCAGGAGTCTGGAGGGCTGGGGCTGGGGGTTGGGATTCCCACCCAGGCCCCTTGGCCATCAGATCCACAGCTGGACCAGCCTCTGGCCACTAAGATCTAGAAGAGGAGCTGCAGCCCATTGCCAGAGATAGTGTGTGCTTATCCTGACATTGCTGTGGGACCTGAGAGATTTCCTGGCCCTCACCAGGCCGGTGCTGGGTGGGACCTCCCTGTCCAAGAGCCCGGAGTGGGGGATCACGAGGACCTCCTCACTGGGGTCTCTGCCCTCATCAGACCCCCAAGTCCTCCCTCAGCCTGGGCTGGGTGGGTGGTGGAGCTGCCAGCCTGCTGGAAATTTCTCTCCCCTTGGGGCCTCAGGGCTGGGAGCCAAGGGCAGCTGTCGCTCAGGAGGAGGGAGAAGGCCCACGGGCTGGGCTGGGTGCGCCGTGAACCACACGTGAGATCTGGGGCAGGCGGGAGGCAATGCACATTTGGGGTGGTGCCAGGGTTCCACAGGGGGCAGGCCTGGGTCCCCCAGTGTTGGCCAGCTGGCTGGGCCTCTGCCCCTGTGGGACCCAAGGAGGGTTTCCCTGTCCCTCTAAGCCTCAGAGGAAATTCTAGCGGGAGAGAAAGAGAAGTTGAGAAAGGGAGCTGTTCATTCTGACATGAGTTCAGGTAGAGGTGGCGACCACGGGGGCTCCAGGGGTGCCAGGGGACAGAGCAGCCTGTCCCCACACCTCTTCCCCTGGGGACTGGCCCTGTTCCAGCCTGTTAGGAAGCCCTGGCCTGGGCTGCTGAGGGCCCTGATCCCCTCCTGGGACCCCTGGCTTGCAGCCAGGCAGTGGGGAGAGGGACCCAGGTGTGTGGTGTGGGTGACAGGTGAGTGATGGGCCCAGCGAGGCTGGCTCAGGCCTGGGGTCACCAGGGGGCTTGGCAGAGACTCTCTAGGTCCCCCACACCCTCCCACCCTATTCCTCTCCACCGTCCCACCTGGGCCTCAGGGAGGCATCACAGGCACCTCTGCATGTCTACTGTGCAGATGGGGAAACTGAGGCTCTGAGAGCACCTGGGATTCATCATCCTCTACCACCAGGTCCCCCTTGGCATTCTCCACAGAGCAGCAATTTCCCCCAAGCCCAGAATGTTCCAGAATGTTCTGGAAGTCCTCATTTACAGTCAAAGCCACCTGCAGCCCATAACTGGTGGAGCAGGCCTCTGTGCAGGGCTTACCTGACTTTGGAGTTCTTGACCTGAGATCTGACTTTCACTTCTGGCAGCTGTGTGGCCTTGGGTGAGTTCCTCAACTTCTCTGGGCCTCAGCCACCTTCTCTGCAAAGTGGAGCCACTGTCCGCACCTTCTTCAGGAGGCTGAGGTCACGCTGATCCCCTCAACATCCTGCGGGGTCTCTGCAGACCCCCCTGCTGGGAGGAATGATTGGCCTGGGTCCCTGGTCCTCTGTGGGCCTCAGTTTCCCCTCCTGTAATAGTTTTTTTATGTTTTTGAGATGGTGTTTTGCTCTGTCGCTGAGCCTAGAGCGCAATGGCACGATCTCGGCTCACCACAACCTCTGCCTCCCAGGTTCAAGTGATTCTCCTGCCTCAGCCTCCCAAGTAGCTGGGATTACAGACATGTACCACCATGCCCGGCTAATTTTGTATTTTTAGTAGAAATGGGGTTTTTCCATGTTGGTCAGGCTGGTCTCGAACTCCTGACCTCAGGTGATCCGCCCGCCTCGGCCTCCCAAAGTGCTGGGATTACAGGCATGAGCCACCGCGCCCGACCTGTAATATTTTAAGAACCCTACCTCTCCCTGCTCATCCACAAGGCCACACACACGGTCACAGCCACTGGCAGACACAGCTTAGAGCCCCATAGGTGGCCGCACACAGCCCACTTCACCACACCCAAGGACACAGGTCCATGCAGACACAGCCTTGCATGGTCACACAGAGAGACACACAGACTCGGAGAGGCCCGCACACTCGGAGAGGGGCCCCCATGCCATCAAACACTCAAAGCCTCACTCCCAGGGACACACAGTCCATCTCACACTGGGAATCGCCACCACCCACGAACACCCACATAGCACCATGGGCGGGCATCACGACGCATCCGCGGGCACTATCAGAGTCACGCCGAGGTCACACCCACAGTGATGCGTTCGTGACACCGACCTGCTGATGGTCATACCGAGTGTCCCCCCAGCCATGTGCATACCCCTGCTGTCGGTCACACACAAACCCTTTGACCTCCTCCTCAGGGGACGCTTCCCCTCCCTGACCTGTCCTGCACAACTCAGGCAACACATCCAGTGCCCTTGGGCCCTGTGCCCTGGGCAGAGAGGGTCCCTTTATCCCAGCCTTGCCCAACTTCACCTCTGGAGAGTGTGGGCCCCACTCAGCCCTTGGAGCCTGCATGTCCACTGTGCAAATGGGGAAACTGAGGCTCAGAGAACACCTGGGATTCACCACTACCTTCCAACACCAGGTCCCCCTTGGTCCTCATTTACACTCAGAACCCACCTGTGGCCCCTAAGCAGTGGAGCAGGGCTCTATGCAGGGCTTGCCTGACTTTGGAGTTCTTGACCTGAGATCTTCAGAAAACCGACTTTTACTTCTGGGTGCGTGCCAGAGCCCACTCCGGGAAGCCCGCTGGAGGAGAGGACCCCAGAGGGATCTGACCTCCACCCCCCCCAACCAAGCGGCTTGACCTCTAGGGCCATAGAAAGTTCTAGAACAGGGTTTTCTGCTCCTGGACATTTGGAACCATCATTGTTGTTTATGGGACCCCGACCTGTACATCGTAGCGGGTTCAGAGTAACCCCGGCCTCTACCCACTAAGTGACCTCATCCTCCCCTGGTTGTGACAACTGGAAATGTCTCTGGACATTGCCAAGTGCCCTTGGGGGCAGAATCGCCTGCATGAGCACCCCATCCTAGAGTGAGGGACACAGGAGTTTTCCTCAAAGCATTCTTGTCTGAAAACGGTAAAGCACTGTCTGTCTGTACCTCTCACAGTTGGTTACAAACAGAGTAGAACCACAGGTCAGCCAGCCAGCACCATCACCTGGGGCAAGGCTTCGAGGGTGCCGGTTCCCAGGGCCCAGTGCCTTCCAGGGTGAGGTCCCCAGCAGGTGAGGCTCCCAGCAGGTGAGATTCAGTATGGCAAGGTCCCTGGGAGCTGGACCCCAGCAGGTCAAGTCCCGACAGGTGAGATCCTCAGTAGGTGCTGCCTCTAGCAGGCAAGGTCCCCAACAGGGCAGGCTCCTGGCAGCCATGAAGGCTGGCATGTGAAATCCCAGGTAAATGTCATGTCAGCCACCAAAGCCTCCAGCAGGCGAGGCCCCAGGCAGGTGAGGCCCCAGGCAGGTGAGGTCCCAGGGAAGTGAGCCCAGTAGATGGTAAGGCCCCAGGTAGGTAAATCCCCAGACTAGTGAGTCCCTAGGTGGGTGAGGTCCCGCTCAGTGAGGCCCGGGGAAAGCGCGCTCCCCGGCAGCCCAGGCCCCACGCCGGCCTCTCAGGTGAACCAAGCGGCTATGCTGCGCACCGTCTGGTACCTGGGTTCCTGCTGCAGCTTCCAGCAGGCCTGGCAGAAACACCGTGCCCAGCTGAAGAAGCCAGGCCGCAGCGTCTCCCGCCAGCGAAAGTAGCGCAGGTAGCGGGCGTGGTCCTTGTCCAGTGCCTGCAGGTACTGGGCCAGGTCCTTGGGGCTCTGGAAGTCGTCCACGTGGATGAAGGCGTCGGGCGGCAGGAACTTCTCGTAGTTGCTCCTGCTGGGGCCCAGCACCACGGGCACGGCCCAGGCCTCCAGGGCGTTCCTCCACAGCTTCTCGGTGATGTAGTCGGGGTGCACGGAGTTCTCGAAGGCCAGGTAGAACTTGTACCGGGACAGCGTCTCCATCATGGTCCCCTGGGGCAGCGGCTTGTGGGAGCGCCCGTACACGTCCACCTTGAGATGTGCCTGCAGGGTCTGGTAGTAGCGCACCCTGGCAGACTGTGGATTCCAGTTGGACACCGCCCAGGCCACCAG